CATAAAATTATTGCTTGAACACGCCCTCTAAATAAACCCGTAAAATGGTCGTAGATAAAACCCAGTCATCCTCGATTTTGTAACAAATCCGGCACGGAGGTACAACTAGGGTTCGGTGCATTCCTATACAGACAGCGTTTAAAGGGGCACCATTTTACCACGTTACGACTGAATTTTTAACTATGGATAGGCTTTTGCTTGGTTTTGGGGTCGTTCTAGTACGAAATATTACAAAATGCACAATGATGATTGTGTTATTCCGATACACTCAATCGGGTACTTTCCAGGCCGTAGTTCCCTTTAAAAACCACATGCCGCGCACGTTTTGTTATGGCTTTAAACCACTGAATCCGTTCCTTATTGTACGCGCCTCTGCTGACTATAGAGCCTAATCGATAATTTAGCCGTCACGGATTAAGAAAACTTGAGCGCTATCTGATCGGACGGGCGTGTATACAGTAGTGTGCATGTATACTAGCATTTGCTCTGGCTGATGCCAAAACCTTCCCTTTTCTACGATCACCGCGCACAGACATATATTATTACTTGGATGATTCTGGTGGCAGTGTAGAAGAGTGCCATTGGTATGTATCGATTAACAAGAGGAATATAGGCGCACGGACGGAGTTATTTATTTGCTCCAGGATCGGTGCGATCATCGAGGGGTGATCGACCACGGTCTCCGTACAGACGCATGGATTATGGATCGTGGATTTATCATATACCCCCATGGCCGACACAGGCTGTACCCTGCAAGTATGCTGCGGTGAGTGTTTGTTTATAACTTGGAAAAACGCAACGTGCCGATACCCATAAACCCAATAAAAATGACTTTAAAATAATTCTTCAAATAGACAATCGTATCGTTTCAGTCTGATCAACGCAACATTCATTTTTGCCATCTATCGCTGCTTTCTGCTGTCGAGCATTCGGAAATCCAATTACTTTTTGTATCGATCGGATTAACTCGTAACAATACTAGTGCGCTGACGTGGCACGCGCCCTCTCCCGTCTATTGTTGGGGGATTAAAGATCCGACCAGCTGGTCGTTCACAGGGACTAACGTATGAAACTCATATTCGGGCTAAGATCCAAATGTACCATAAAAATATGTATATATTTTTTTCCATACCTTATGCAATCTTCCCATAGAATTGGTCAAACTGTACCCGGTTCCTTATACCCACACCTATTCCTATTCATCCCATCCATTCATTAGGTCAAACTGTGCCCGGAATTTCATAACCCCATTAATTCATATTTATATCTACATATTTCCATATTTACATATTTATGTGACCTTTACATATTTCTAGGCTCAAGGTCACACCGTACCATACAGACTACCTCAACTACTGAATTGAAAGCGAGGTCAAATCTTCATTCAGTTTTGGAACTTGCGAATAGAATGAAATCAATGAAATAAAGTTAATTACAAATAGTAGTTATTTTCCACTAATGCCTAAGAATGCCGGAGACAGCAGCAACATTTTCTGGGAGGGCAGGCATGCGCCCCTGGATCTCTCCACGCCTTCACTCAATCCCCCCCCCCCCCCCCCCCCCCCCCCCCCCCCCCCCCCCCCCCCCCCCGTTCCTGAAAGCCACGGTAGATCATCCACTGCATGTACTGACAAACGGGCACACAACATAGACAGTCATGAAACATTTCATACAATTTTCTTTTCAAAATCTTTGTTTCAAACATAATGTGCTCTTATTTATATGTGTGACATGATTTCCTAGTAGGCCTACAATGTATTGTCAATTTGTCACTATAGCTCGTAGGCATAAAAATGGCCCAGTCAGTCGATGACGATAAAGTCATATCGATCGCTGCTGGAAAATAAGCTACTAGTCGCGTCAGATATGTAATTTGTAAAAAGGACTTTTCAACATTTATACTGGAACTTTTCAACATTTTCTTCGTTTAGTGTCAGACTGGAATTCTTGTGACCCCCAAAAAATGGTTTGGCGATCTCACGTACGAATGTTACCTTATAGGTTGTTGTATTCCTCATAATGTTTACACCATATGGAGCTATATATTATAGCTCCATGTTTACACCAACAACCCCGCGAATAAACCCCACCCTACCCGTACAAAGAGCCACCACTTCTTATGAACGCAGTCACCACATCACATTATATTGTCGGCCTCAGGTCTACCTTGCGACGACACAGATCAGTTGGCGACTGACTTTTCAGGATCAACTTACGTCCGACCTAAGCTACGACCGTCGGAACAACTCAGTCGCCGATTTGTGAGACCTGAGTGTACCTGCGATGATATTAGACGATCGGCATCAGCCGGCGCTCAAAAAATAAAAAGTCGCAGGAGTAGAAAGATTTTAACTTCTGCGACAATCACACGATTTGTCAGTTTTGTGACCTGAGCATAATTTTTGTGCTTGATGCAGACGGTTCCGTCGCGGTGCAAGCAAATCGTGGTCGACCTGAGGCAGGCCGGCTTTACAGCTATGGTGTTTTCATCTGGTCCATTCATTATAATTACCTGGCCGACCTTGGGGCTTGTTTGTTTCTCCTCCTAATGCTCCCACTACCCAAACCGGACCGATCATTACTCGCTGCATGTTTTGTTGTAACATCGACCATTGATCGGGCAAGGTTTTTGAGAGCAGAAGTAGCTTCGTTTTGGCAAACCTTGGAGCTGGACAAAAAAAATACAATATATCGGAAATCTATGGACCTTTTGTTCCGGGAAGAATGCTTACCACTTGGTGTGGGACCGGTGCCGGCTCTCAAAGCTCACTTGAGCTGATTTTATGAATGATGCTTACGATTTGTAATGTAACTGTTGCTGTTGTAGAATTTCTTTTGCTAATTGACTTCGTTGTGTATTTTGGTCGAGTTGGTCTTTGCAAACTACTCTGTTTCAGGCGGTCTTATATAGTGGGCCGGAAATATAGGCCATTAAATCTCCGAAAAGCAGTGTTTGCCACATTTTGTTTGAAAAGGCAAATAAAGAGAACCACAGCTCGATTTTGGAATCCGGACTAACGACTTCGATCCACTGTGCGCACAAAAGAAGGAGAATAATAAGTCAGCCTGGTATTTATCATCGTCAATAAGATGTCGAGGCACGTAATTTGCTTGGCCCTGGGGGGTAGCCTATTTGGGTCGACATAATATAGCAGGCGCTACTTGGGGTAATATACAAAAGACTTCACCAAACCAAATAGGGCACTTCTAGTACCTATCTCACTGACCAAACACCGGCTGACTATTTGTCACTTGTAAGCTGGCAGTGTTATCGAATATACCGTTACTGTAGAATTTATGTTAAATTCAACCAAAAGTTGTCATACAAGACCAAATTAAATTTAGTCTTGAATGACCACAAGTTTTAGTTGAATTTAGCAGAAATTCTAGCCCAAACAATTGGTTATAGAACAAACCCAAGTATGGGTAGTTCCAGTTTGCACCCATTCTTGGGTAGAATTAACCCAGGCAATTTTCAGTGCATCCGTGCTGAAAAGTACTCAGGTTTTTCAACGCACACTCTGCCTCCGTAAAATAAAAAAAAATGGGGGGGGGGGGGGGGGGGGGGGGGGGTGGACACCATCTTCCCATGGGGGCGATGTTCAAAACCGACATCGTTGTCAATGCCGGACAATAGGTGGCGCTATTAAATTCAAACGGGACGTTAAGAGCTAAACGCGAAAACTGGGTTTTCAAAATAAAACAGAAAACGTGGGGAACAAGAGGAACTTCTTTGTTCATGTTAAAACCCGCTCCGCTATTTTAGCATTGCAACCTCCCCTCCCCCCCCCCCCCCCCCCCCATCCGCCGCTTTTCGAATTTCCACGGCCTGGCAATGCTTTGATTTTAGTCTGAGTATCATCCGTTATCCACGGATGGCTTTCGCCATGGTTACATAGAATACCCCCCCCCCCCCCCCCAGTCCTCGGCACAGATTTTCGCCACTGCGATCGGGACAGCCTCGCTTTATGTCCGACTATTACCTTTTGTTTTTACTTATTTACGTATTTATTTTTATTTTTAACAAAATGGGGGGGGGGGGAGGTGTTGGTTTTGTTGTTTGCTTTGTTTTCGCATGGTTTTCGGTGAAGCGTTATACGAAAGCCCATTAGCGCCACTATGTATATATTTAGTAATTCGTTATTACGGATTATTTAATTCGTTATTACGGATTATTAATTCGTTGTTGCGAATTACATCTGGTACTCACATGCGGAGAGCACGTGATCAGAATGCACTGAGAGCTGGATAGGGTTTAATCAAAATGCAAAATTTCGGGACCAAATCCCCAGATTGTCTTAAAGCATAGCATCATCGACCCTGATCACAGAATGGTCGGTCTTAAGTTTAGCTAGATCAGACAAAGGCAAATTTTACATTTAATCAAATTTGCGAACAAGATCAAATCAAGTATCAAATTCACACCCAAAAGACAATGGAGTGACCTCTAACATCCATTTTCTTTTTTTGTTTGTTCTGTTGGCAGCCGCAACATGGGTTGGGGGGGGGGATGTCCCTGTCCCCTCTAAAAATCGAATAGAGAATATGTTGAGAAATATGTTTTGCCCCTCTTGAAATTTTTTTAATCCGTAATAACGAATTAATAATCCGTTGTACGAATTAATAATCCGTAATAACGAATTAATAATCCGTTATAACGAATTAATAATCCGTAATAACGAATTAATAATCCGTAATAACGAATTAATAATCCGTTATAACGAATTAAATAATCCGTAATAATGAATTAATAATCCGTACCGTAATAACGAATTAAATAATCCGTAATAACGAATTAATAATCCGTAATAACGATTTAAATAATCCGTAATAACAAATTAATAATCCGTAATAACGAATTAAATAATCCGTAATAACAAATTAATAATCCGTAATAACATATACTTGCAGTGACACTAATGGGCTTTCGTAAAGTTATCATCTGAGGGAAATTTGCTCTTTATTTACAGGCCTTTAATCAAGCGCCCTCAACGCCGGGTAGAAATGTCTGTTCTCGGACTCGGTTGAATCCGACGTTCACTTCCAATTCCGCTTGTCTCGAGTATAGTACCGGTACCAGACGAAATTGTCATACATCCAACGTACGCATTATGGCCACGACGAATGTTTGTCGAGAAAGGTAAATTATTGCATTTTCTGCTACGTTAACAGGAAAAAAAGGAGAAATTATTTTGTTAATTTAATACAAGTTTTGAACCATCTTAACCATGCATATGATTTACAATGATAGTGTAGTACCAAGGGTTTTCATTCAGTGGTACTGTCTTATTTCTTGGAAAGACCCGTCCTGCTCCGATCCGATCCTGTGCACTGAATTACACGTACTTTTGGGCGATCGTGTAGTGTAGGGCCCTGTTTTGTTTCGATCAAATTAGAGTCAAAAATGTTTTTTATTACTCAAAAATCACCTTTACAATCAAAAGCATATTTTTCTCAATTCTAAGGACACCCGTTTTGCAATTTTGAAATATTTTGGAGGGTAGATATCACGATTTTCCTGCGCGGTTTGTGCCTTGCGATGCGATTCAGCACACCGTGCGTGCTCACGATACATGGCGCGGTGATCGCCATCTTTATTTGCGGGTTTGCATGTTGTCGCCGCGCTGTCATCATCATTTTACCCCCAAATTCCCTAAAAAAAATCAAAACCCTGCCCTCTTTATATGACCTACCTGTTTATTGAGAATGTCAGTTGTCACCAACTAGTTTGGTCGGTCTAATAATTTTAAAGTGGATTTTGTTCCATAGGAATCGGGCCCTACAGTACACTACACGATCGCCACACTTTTGTCTTAGGCTTAGCCCCATAAATGTGGCCAATTTACTGGACTACCTCCGTAAATAAAGGCCACACTTGAAACATGTACAAAAACATGTAGAACTTTGTCAAATTTTGATTTTCACATTCAGGCTTAGTTTGTAATTTATTTTTGCTTAAGAAGCATACTCATCCTCTTTATAGGCTAATCAGAAAGTGCTGCCTTTTTCAGATGTCTATTTTTCGTAATTCCACTACCCACTTTAGTACCTTCCCGTCAATTCCACATGCGCTTAGTTTCGATATTAACCTCTTGTGGGGAACTGTATCAAAGGCTTTGGCATAGTCCAAGTAGATCACATCCACTCCACAGTCTTCATCCAAGCTCTTACTAAGTCTTTAGTGATGTCCTCCAGGGTGTCAAGAAGGTTTGTCATGCATGACCTACCAGAGGTAAATCCGTGTTGGTCTTTGGATAAGAGCTCATACCTTGAGATATGGCTGAGAATTGAGTCTCTAACTAAGGACTCCATCACTTTGCATGGAACACTGGTAAGGCTTATTGGGCGGTAGTTTCCAGCTTGGCTCTTGGATCCTTTCTTAGAGATAGGAACAACCTTTGCACGTCTCCAGTCTTCTGGGATGGTTTCTTCTGCAATCGATTTCTTAAAGAGAAGATACAGAGGCGTTGCCATTTCCATACTGCACTCTCTCAAGACTTGAGGATGGATCTTGTCCATTCCTGGTCACTTGTCTGGTTTGAGATCTGCAAGCTTCCTTATGACATCATCTAGGGTAAAGCTAGCTTGTACCAGGTCTTCCATGTCTGTCCTACGAGGCTGGAGTCTTGGAGGCTCCGCTTCGGGTTCTCTGGTGTGCACACTGTTGAAGAAATCGTTCAAGCTGAGATATCCCAGCTCTCACTTTCTGCTTCGATCTTACATAGCTATAGAAAGCTTGGGCTTCTTCTTGAATTCTTTCATCAATCTCCTTTCGTGGTCTGCCTGTGCACTTCTAACAATTTTCTTGGTCTGGTTGCTCTGTCTTGCACTCTACATTATCCTTATGCACTTATGCACAAAGTGACAAACCCTATGAGACAGCACTGAAAAATTCCAAGTGGTTTTTTTTTTCAGTAGGCCTAAATGTTTCAATATTTTCCATTATTGCCATTAAGTTATTGCTTTCTGATGATCGGAATTTAACATTTAAAGCTATAGTCCATCATTTGTAATTAGTGCATTTGTTCGTTTGAAGCAACAAACGTGTTCAAAATCTAATGAAGGATACTGAACAACTTACTTGATGAAGTTTCAGCTCAGCTTCAGCTGTATATTCCGAGAAAAACAGCATTCTAAGATCTCAATTTCAAATCAAAAGTTACTGAATCATGTTTTGAATTGTTTTAAATTGCAGCTATACGCGACGTCGCGCGCTGATCCGACGAATTATAACAACCGCGCGCGTGTGCGTCGTTCCAATACTTGTGCGCGCTGCGCTGAATAACAAAACGAACTACTAATTTAAATTTTCCTACGGTGCTTCTTAAGAATCACCGTTGGAATGCCTTCTTTCGTTGATTACTTCAAAATGACAGCTTCCCAGAAAGAATAATTTCACAGGAGTTTAGTCCCCTTACTATCTTTCAACCAAGTTTGTTTTTCAACAATAATTATGCCAGTTACTTTTCGGATAGCTGCAAATGATGGACTATAGCTTTAACGCAAACATTTCAAGCATTACATTTTAAAAAATCAATTCGATCCATGGGCCCTTTGGCTATGCTGTGCGCAATAGAGTAGTTCTTTTTAACATTAGTTCTTACATAATTACTGTTGTTGCAATGTAATTCTGCAACCGAAATTGAAGAATAGTTTGTCATGTAAAACCTAGTCTTATGACCCTAGTTTTCAAATTTCAACAGTATTTAGCAAGAACATACGCTTTCTCACTCTATTTTTTCCAGTTGATTCTGCACAAATCAATGAAGTTTTTTCCATTGATGATGCACCGAGCATGCAGCATGAACTAGCAGCCAAATCACAATAACCTACTTCGTCCTACCCTGTAATTTCCCTAAAATAATTAAACCCACTTTCCATGACATTCCTGTTGTAGTTACATGCAGCCAGCTAATCAGGCGAGTTCAGTAAATATAAAAGTTGAGTTTCATTCTCTTATTGAAACTGGGTTTTAACCAGTTTGCCCCGGGATTATTTTGACGTGACCGGACCGAGGCGCGTGATTGTTTTTACGAACCTCGATGCCAGACGGGTTCAGGCCGTCATCTGTGGTGGGTAGCACACCCTGATATTTCCGGCCTCGCTCTCTGCGAGATATTTCTGGCCTCGCTCGTTGCGTGTTTATCTGTTATCCATTCTGAATACCGCAAAACCTTTGTGTGTACATGTATACACGTCATCGGACATGAGCTGGTTAAATGACACTGTCGCCAGGTAGTGTGTGATGAAATATCAGACCTCGGTGCTGTGGCTGTGAAGTTTAATACGTTGCAATATCATCCCTTTAGATTGTTGTCGTCATAGAAAGGAGCAATAAACAGCGCCACAATGTGGGGGCGTTTCACCAACATAGCGCAGAATGTCCAGGACAGGTTGGACACTGTGGTCGAGAACGTCAACAAATCCATGAATGAGGAACCATCAGAAGGGGTAATGAATCTTTCGTTTAATGGGTTTTTTGGGGGGGGGGGGGGAAGGGTGTTTTTCTACATTTCGCAGGGCAATCTAGGTGTATTTTTTTTTTTCGATTTAAATTGTTCAAAATCCTTCAAAAGATTCTTCACCAGGATGTCTTTTGAAAGTTTGAAGTAAACAAAAACAATTTCTACTGGTTTTCTGCATATTGGAGAAAGTACAATGTATCCTAGCAAAATTGGACTTGAGTTTCTATAACCTTATACAGAAAATTGCATTTTGAACAATATATGCGTCTTGGATTATTAATATCTAGGAGTTTTCTCTTTTTGGAATCATGTATAGGCCCCTACATTGAAAACTGAAATCAATCAAGTTTAATTTGTACTTTTCTGCATTCAAGGATACCTCTGTCGCTTCAGGATCCGGGGACGCCAGTTTTGCCTCGGCTGCAGATGCCAGTTTTGCCAGTTCCTCAGACGCTCACGACCAGCTGAACGAACAAACCAAGCTACTGAACCAGTTGAAGGATATGATACGCCAAAAAGACAAACAACTCCTGGTAAAATATTGCTGTCTTGTGCTCAAAGAATCGAAGTTTTGCTTTGTGAAACTATTCTATAATGTTTTCTCCTCCCCTCCCCAAAAACGGTGGGGACACAAATTAGTTTGGAGATTTTTTACTCCATTCACACTGACTAGGATGAGGTACCAACATTCACTAATATCCAACCCTCGTTGGGATTGGGTCTCGGTATCATGGCGCCCCTTAGCACACAATTTGTGCGTTAACCCTCCTATGCAGATGTATACATTCAGTGCAAAGTTGTCCTTTCAGTAAAAATCAGTCAAGTGACTGTTTCTAACAGTTAAGAGTTCCCAGCCTACATAAAGCAGGATTGACTGGCTTGGACTGTTTATGTAATTTGATACAGCTGTGTTTTGACTGTAGGTGATTGATAAGCCAGCTGTGTGTGTCACTTGCCTGATTTTGTCTGCTGATTGAATTTGACTAGTCAGTAGTCACAGTGCTTGTTTGAAATATGATCCGACTGTTGGTGACTAGCCTGTGTAAAAGGCATGGCAGGGGAAGAGGATTGATTATTTTGACTGTCTATGACTGTTCAGACAGCAGGAGGGCTAATATCCATTTGTGAACAAAATCAAAGCAAATGAGTCGGGAGTTGTTGAAGCTGCTTTTGAGTGATGGGGCCTTTTTACCAGATTTGCACAGTGGAAATTTAGTCAGAATAGCCAGCATTTTCACCAAATATCTGCATAGTTTAAAATGGTAACATTGCTTATTCTTGTCGGGTCAGGATTTGAAAATATTGTGCTTAGTCAGAAATCTTTTTCCAGTAATAACAGTATTTATCCCTGTTGGAGATTACCCGTCCACACTGGAACTGGGATCAACTTAAATGCTGCAGCTCGGGCAGAAAGAGACCCTAAAGTTGACTCTTTCCCAAAATTTACTTTTACTGGGGCTCAAGTGCTCTTACAAAGGTAACTTGGACTGCTCTTTTATCTTGAACGATAGAATGTCAAGAGTAGGCAAAAGTTTGACAGTGACAACCGCAAATTTTGTTTTGACCTTCAGGAAAGCAACGCCAAGTTGTCCAAGTTCAAACTGCAGGCCAAAGCGAAGATCACATCACTGACCAATCAAATTGGAGCACTGAAGAAAGCAGGGGGAGAACCACAAGGAGACGAGGAGAGCTCAAGTGCCAAAGTAAGTCATGCAACTCTGATATTTGGTTCAAGGTGGTATAGATAACAAGTGCATTGTTGTCTGTAATTTTACTGTATCTTTATTAATGTTGTGCAAACCCGACCCGAAACTGAAACCGATCCGACCCGAAACCGACTTTGGGTCGGGTCGGGTCGGTTTGTCCATCTTTACAGTCGGGTCGGGTCGGCTTGGTTTTACATTTACATTTTTTGTCGGGTCGGTTGAGCCATCTTCTGAAAAAAAATGAAATAAACCGAAAAAAAACCCCGAAACAGTTGAGACATTCAGGTGATGCAACATTATTGACAGTCACTGTGACTGCAGCCCATTGATGTGTGGCCAATGTGCGCACTATCAAGTTCCCACGGTATTTATTTCTCCAGTTGGATCGGGACTGACAGTGAAATAGATATATTGTAACAGTTTCATGATACAGCGTCATGAAAACGTGGGTAAGGGCAGGCACAAAAAAAAGCCATTACTTTGTCCAAGCCAGATATTCTGTTGTTGTTTTTTTTTTTGGGGGGGGGGGTCGGTTTGGGTTCGTGTTGGTTTTACTGTATTATTTTTTGTCAGGTCGGGTAGGGTCGGTTTGAGGGAGTTAAGATGAGTTTTGGTTCAAATTTGGTTTAGGTCTCTAATATTTCGGGTCGGTTTGGCCTGGTCAACCAACCCAGCACCCGATCATTAATCTTTATTGTGCAGGATTTTTGTTTTTGTGTGTGGGTGATCGTCTTGTCTATTTTTTTTACTTTGGGACTGCCTTCTTAAAAAGACCAGCGCTGTGCACTCTTTATTGCATCCAAGTTATGTTGTTATTGCGTCCGAGTTTTTTTCATTGTGGGACTTAAAAAGACCAGTGCTGTGCACTCGTTTCTCTGGAATTCTGTGCTTTGTGTCAAGTCCCATAGAAACCTTTGCAGTATTTGCAGTGATCTGAAAAAAAATCTGAAACTTGAAAAAAAAAATACTTGTGGCAATCCCTTAGTGGAAGTGTTCCATCTGGCTGTTTCCATTTTGGAGACAAATGGCAATTGCACACACTATTTTAGAGACCAAAATTAGGAGAGATGAACACGTGTGCATTAAATGCTCTTTGGACCATTAGTTACTTAGTGTAGTAAAGAATTAGTTTGAAATCATCACTCAATGGAAAGATGATCACTGCTTTTTGACTGCAGTACACAGCATGTTTTTTCCATAGAGTCTTCAAAATCCATCACCTAAATTTCTGGTGGATTTTGACGGATTCAGGATACCACGCTCGCATGAAAATTGTGATGTGTGTTGTTGCATAGGATCCATATACACCAATGCATGGCGACCCCAGCACTGCATTGCCAGGATAGGTTATTTACATAATCCATTGTGTATATGCTGAGGCCTATAGCCCCAGTCACAAGCTCCCATCCAGCCAGTACATGTATGTACATGTTTGTACAGTAGGTGACACTGACAGACTTGGCAGGGTTAGTGCCAGCAGAATTACTTGACCACAAACATTGCGAAAGAGTTAAACTGTTGAGATCCTGAATCCATCAAAGTCCGCCAGTTCCGCTAGGCTTCGAATCCTGAATCCATCAAAATCCCCCAGTTTGTTCAATATGGAGGTATCCTGAATCCGCTGAAATCTCCCGAAACAGGGGGTGGATTTTGATGGATTCAGGTACGTTAGGGTTAAAGCATAGGCCCCATGCAAATCTTGAGTGAGAGATACATTCATCTACATTTTAGAAAATGTGTTAGGATTTTAATAATTGAATTGCAGACTGAGGGGCCGATGACCCAGCCAGTCGCGGCAAGCTCATCGTCCTCAAGAAGAAGCTGGAAGATCGCGAGAAAGCCCTCGCTGAGAACTCCGCACTCGTCGAGAAACTCGAAAGCTCTGTCAACGAAAAGCAACTCGTCATTGACGCTCGGGAGAAGCAGTTGGCTGAGAAGGGACGGATGATGGCAGAGATGGAGGAAGGGGAGCGCAAGATGCAGGCCGAGCTGCGTGAGAAGGAGAAAATCATCGAGAAGAGAGAGGCGGTGATTGAGGCCATGCGCAGCGGAGGGGTGGGCGGGGCGTCGGGCAGTGGGAGGATGGGAGAGGATGAAAGTGACCAGGGTACATCAGTGAGCGACTCGAGGGTGAAGGAGCTGGAGGTAAGTGTGGTAACCTTGAACTGTGCCATGTTTAAAGTTTACCAACCTGGAAATTGCCGAAATCAAGTCACTAATCCATGAGTATCTCACAAAGGTCAACACTCATGTGCAGTTGGTTCGTAACCATCCAATACTTGGTGTTTGTAGAATTTGTACCTGAGCATTTTGTATGTAAATATCACATTAATTTTGTGTACTTTGGCAAAACAGGACGGATTTTAGCAAATATGACTAGGTGCTTGGTTAACCCTTCTGCTGTTTCAACGGTCACAGACAGTAAAAAAAATCAATCCTCTTCCCCTGCCATGCCTTTTACACAGGCTAGTCACAAACAGTCAGATCATATTTCAAGCAAGCACTGCGACTAGTCAAATTCAGTCAACAGACAAAAGCAGGCAAGACGTAGGCACAGCTGGCTTATCAATCACCTACAGTCAAAGCATAGCTGTATCGAGTTACATAAACAGTCACAGCCAGTCAATCCTGCTTTATGTAGGCTGGGAGCTCTTAACCGTTGAAAGCAGTCACTTGATTGATTTTGACTGAAGGGACAACTTTACACACAATGTGTGTTTGCATAGGAGGGTTAATAGTGTTCAAACCCTGGCAACAAATAGTGTTCTAACCTTGGCAACAAGTAGTGTGTAAGATAGGGTGTATTGGAGGAACATAAGGATATTAATCATTAGGTACAGTAATAGAGAGTCCAATGTCCAAAGATATTCAGTAAAAATGGAAAATGTAGGGCTCTGGATGTTGTAACAATTTAGGCGGGTCATTTTGTCAGTTGTCTGAATTGTCTCATGATTGATGTTGATGAAGTAAGCTGTGTTTGTCAATTAGTTGTGCCTGTTAGTACTTAAACCTGGTAGATATTTGTGATAAAGTCTTTTTTAAAATTTCTGTTGCTGTGTCGTTACCATTGCCAGTTTTCGTTGTCAGTCGTTGCATTAAAAAAATAGATGACCAATTCGCCCCAACCCCAAATTTCCCAGGACCAGCTAAACGAAGAATCGTCCAGGGCTAAGGAACTGTATGCTCAGCTTGTTTACAAAGACAAGATGGTGATGGAGCAGAACGGTAAACTCCTTGAGCTCGAGCAGCGTATCCATGAATTACAAGAACATGTCAAGGATAAGAATGAGGTCGTTCGAGGGTCGCGACAAGGTCATTCAGGTTCGTTGACACCGGTGCGCTGCTCTCTGTCTGGAATTCTTCTGCACTCTGTTTGTGTTATCGGTCATGCACTTGTTCCAAGCTTTTGTCGGCCACTGTTCGTTCGAAATCTGTTGGGCTTTTTATCTAGTGAACTTTGCTCAAATATTGCTGTGGAAGGCACTTTATGTTCTCCTCTCGATTTCATGCTGTTTACAACTGCGATGTCAGTTAAATGTCACTTGCTTGTAAACATACATGTACTTATATGCTTTATTCGGGTACCTGTTTTTCATCTGTTTTTCTCTTTTTGTTTATTTGAGCACTGTCTTGTTTTGTGTTTGTAAAAATTCATGTGCAATGTCATTTTGGACCATCTGTGCACTTATGTGCTTCTAATCCTTGCAGTTCTGTGAATGTTAAATAAAAATTGGTTTTATAAAGTCCAAACTGGTAAGTTGACAGGTTGTACATGATATTGACTGACAAAAGAGTATTCACATACAGAAATGTGGAACAAGCTTAGAAATTGCGTCTACAGAACAAATTTACTTAACACTTACATAAGTATCTGTTTGCACTTCCCATTCTTGCACACCTGTCAACATACATGCACTATTGCATCTATTGCTGAGATTTTTACTCATAACTCATTGCAATGTTCACCCCAGCCATCATAACGAGCAGTTTACAAAGTGGATAATATATACAATCTGCACAGTTGTTAGAGTTGTGTTGCTGGATTTGTTTTTGCTGTTTGTGCACTTCACCTCTGGTTTAAGTTGCTGCATTTCTCTGTGGTAGTTGGTGATACTGTGACGTTGATAGATTTCACCGAGTCAGTGATAAAGGCTTAATTGTAAGTTCCATTGGGTGGGCCACCATTTTCAATTAATCCTAACCTTCCCAACTCCATCAAAATCCATCCCCCATTTGGGGGTATTATGGCAGATAAGCCATGTGTACCAAGTCCATCAAAATCCACAAGCAGTGTGGATTTCAACGGATTTGGTCCTGAAGCATTATGTGAAGCAGAGTCATTGATGGATTTTGACGGAATTGGTACTGTTTTTAGTAAAATGTCAGTAGGGTTAGGATTAATATTTTTGAACAAAACATTTTGTGAATTTCTTTCATTGAAGGTCTTACAGGCAGAGTGCAAACAGAAGGACCAGGCCATTACAGATTTCAACCGGGTGCTGGAAAACATGCGGGAAAAGACTGAAGGCACGGATGAGAAAATCAGCCAGCTGACTACAGAGCTTGAGCAGCGAGATGCTGCACTTAACGCGGAGAGGGAACGCTGGGAAGCAGCAGAGAAACAGGAACTGGTACGCACTCACCAGGAGATGCTGGCTGAAGTCCGGACCGTGGCCAAGCAGCGGCAAGGCCAGCTGGAGATGCTACAGACGGAGCACAGGAGAGAGATGTCCCAGCTGGTGGGCAAGTCCAACGACGCAGCCACCAAGGCACTGGAGAGGAGATGCCAAGAAGCCGAAGAGATCCTGTCGGGGAAAGTCCGAGTCTTGGAGATGCTGCAAGGTGAGATTGGAGAGAAGGAGAAGCTGCTCTTGGAGCAGGGGACCACTGTCAAGTCCCTGACGGAGAAACTGCAGACGTACCAGGATCAACTGGGAAACCTTCAGGAGGATTTTGCCTCCAGGCAGCAGGCTTGGAGGAACGAGAAACAAGCTCTGGAAGGACAAATTGAGGAAATCAGAGAGAAGCATGAGACTGAGTTAACAGAGAAGACAAACACCGTGACGGAATTGCAAACAAGTCTTCATCAGTATGAGACGCAGTACAAGGAAGTTTCAGACAGCCATAACAAGATCCAGTCAGACTTTGAGCAGACCCAATCTGAACTGGAGCAGAGCAAGACAGCGCTGGAACAAACCAGGACAGAACTGGTTCAAACCAGAACAGACAGGCTGGAACAGGAAAAAGCAGAAATGGAAGCAAAGCAGGCTGAGATTGATAGGCTGCAACAACAACTCAGAGACAAGGAAGAAGAGATCAGACTCAAAGATGAGGAGGTCAAGGAGTCGAACAAGAAGGCGGAGGCTAAATTCATGAAAGTCAAGGCCCAGGCCAAAGCTAAGATAAAGTCCCTTGAAGAAGACCTGGAGGAACTCAAAAAGGTAGCTGCTTGACAAATTTTCTCCTTTATCCTTTTCATTCAACTTTGTAGTTTCTTAATTATAGTCAACTTCATATCTGTCACGCCACAAAGTGATGGATCATCTATGAATTTTGTTGGAAGATGTGTCACTTTCTGGTGTCTTTCGAAATTCTTCCCTCGTTTAAAAAATCTCTGTGGTATTCATCTGTTTTCCATACCAAGCTTAAGCTTGAATTCTCTTCTACTTTTTCCTCTTCCTTTCATGTTCTTGTTTGTCTTGTCTTTCCCAAACATCACAATTTTGCCACAGGCGGATTCCATGGCAGAGGAGCTGAGTGATTTGAAACTCAAGATTGCCGAGCTTGAAGAAGAGAAGGGGAACCTGCAACTCAAGCAGATGGACTTTGACGAGAACACGGCTCAGATTGGTGAGTACACGGCTCAGAGATTGTGATGTTGCCTGAGTCACAAAAGTTTTTGTCAAAACCAGGGGTGAGATTTTTTGGGATATTTCCTGATCGATGGATTTTAAAAAAGCCTAAAACGTTTTTGTTACTGTTCTTGTTCTTTTTTGGTAAAACATTTGCTATGGGCAGATTTTAGGGAGTAGCTTTTTATGCAAATGAATTGTACTGTAGATAAGATAAACCCTGTATTGCTCTGGGGCTCTGCTGACACACAAATGGGGAGGGGGGATTTTTTTATTTTCCCGCTAATTTCCCCCTTAAAACTGTAATCAAAATCAGTGAATTGCAAGACAAAAATGTAATTTTGTCTGTAACAATAATAACAAGAAAATGCTTGTTATAATAAAGAATGAGCACAATTAAAACATGCATAAATAAACAATCTGCAAAATTGCTACAGAGAAGTTAGTCAGAAAAGGGTTCTTGTGTCCATTATCTTAATAGAAACTTTGAAAACAACTGTGAGTAATCTGGAGACAAAAAATGCCAGAATGTCTCAGAGGAGAAAGACGAACTTCGCAAGATGATTGAGGCCCAATCACAAGAACGGCTTGAGATAGAGTCTAAGCTGGAAGATTTGCAATCCAAGTTAGACCAGGTAAGGAAAATGGCAAGGAATTAAAAACCTACAGTTTGCTGTTGCATCCTTGGATTTCACACCTGTAGTTAGTTTTAGTCTTTGCCATTACTAACAGAAGGCTGTTTGTGACACCATTTTCAAAGGCCTGTGATCCAGAATGAAAATTGGCCATATTCTTGAAGGTAATGAACAACATTTGCTTTTGCTGTAATTTTCAGAAATGAATGGATTTTGGGGGTTAGTATTTTATAGCAAATATTGTTACTCGGACCTGTTTTTAAAGTTTTGTGTTAATAGATGCTGGAAAAACCAAAAAAAATAAAAAATAATGCTGTTCTTGTAGTCTGGTTCCCTGACCCTACTTCAGACGAACGGAGCTATTTATAGATGTTGGGGAATTGTCAGGTCAGGGAAGCAGACTAGCTGGCTTGCACCCGTTCACTGATTGCAAGCAAAATGTGGACTAACTAAATTTGGTAAATTGGGGGCAGTATTTGAAAAAAAAGTCTTTTTTTTTTTCCAACGATGATCGGGCCGACCATCGTTGGAAATTGTACAAATTCCACTTTTCTTGAAAACAGACAGCAGTACACAGCACACCAGGTGTCTTGATTTGACAGGTTGCTTAAGGCTATTATTAACTTGCAGTGAAGTAAGATATTTCATAATAATTTGGTGGTTTTGTTTTTGGATGTTTGCAAATGTTGTACATAACCTTTAATTCTGAAGGGATTTTGGACACTTGGATATATTCTGTTTGGCCATTTACTTACGGAAATGTATGTAAAAAATGACAACAGATGCAGACAAGATAACTGTCTAAAGCCAGAGGCCAATTTTGATGAGCATCTTTGCGTGGAAACTGCTGGGCACAGAGAGTATCTGCTCACAGAAGGCAGGTTACCAACCAAAATGTAATGAGATGTATAGGCTCACAACTGGTTCTCTGCTAATTTGTTGCTGGTATCATGAATTTGCTAAGCATTGTTTTCTGAACTAGACCCCTTGCACAGAGCGCCCTCACTGAGGCAAGTTTAATTTGTATTCAGTAAATGTACAGAGTGTTGACTCATGTATATATTACAGCAAGCGATTGCTCCATCTTAAAGTAAACTGAATCTTTGATGGACTCGTGTCACTTTGATAGAATCAGTTGGAGTTTGACCAGCAGCAGCGGGACAAGATGGCGGCTCTCTCGGAGGAGTTGTCCCATCTCAGAGAGAGGCTGCTGGAGGCGGAGGACGCCCGAGACGCTGAGATGAAGTCTAGGGTCAGTGTCGAGACCAAACTTGTTGAGCTGGCCGAGTTTAAGAAAAGTGCCGAAAAACTCATGGTTAGATTCAGAACAATAATAATGATGTGTGTCTGTGCAAATAGGCAGTGTGCTGTTGTCCTTGTGCATGAACCTAAAAGCTGTTGCTTTTATTAGCAGTTTTTAGCTCGCTGCTTACAACATTTCAATTAAGACTAATTAAGACTTGTGAAAAAATTAACCACTGCAGTGGCCGTCGCAATTGATACTGCTGATTTACTTGCTAACATGCTACCGCTAATTTTGATACTTGACTATTGTTGACCATTGTCTTAGAGAATTGTTTGCATATTTCATTAATTTCATGACGTCACAAGGACTGGCCTCTCAGTTAGCCAGTTTGGTATTTCAACTGTGCCTGCTTGCAATGATACGTGTATGGGTCATAGGTCATTTGGGATAATCGAATGCTCATGGAAGACGCATGAACGCGCAAGGAGACGGTCGCACAACGCTCGCATGTTAATTACGAGCAGAAAAGGTGCTCGCGTAACATCGTGGTTACAAGATCCTTGACGCTTATCCTGAATGACCTTTGGCCTGGACTAATTCATGAGATACTGAGCTGGCTTATTGCTACATCAAAGTCGTCTGCAGCGCAGAAGGTGGAAAATAATTCATTTAGTGAGCAGGCGTGGGCTTGATGCTACTCAAAATGTGACGTCATGAAATTGGGTCTATATTCAAGCGTCCAAATTTGCTGTTTGTTGATATAAAAGAAGCCACTATGGTTGGTATTATGAAAAAAAAATTGGGAGCTATGAAGCTGCTCATGAAGCCATCGATTTAGTTGCAGTTGAGCCATAACCATTAAAGCTGATGTGTTCTGTGTGTGTAGGCCATTTTGCTGAACCTGTAGCATTTTTTAAACACGAGGTGTTACCAATCAAAAACCACAAATTGAAAATTCGCTGCCTTGCTGTAGATTATGGAATGGCAAAAAGGAAAAATACAAAATTCACATACTGAAATATCTGTTAAGAGATATCTAAATTTAACTGGGCTATTTTATGGATTGCCAAATAAACATATGTTTTTTTGTGTGTTGTTAGACAAATAGCTGAAAAGGACGATCGACATATTTATGTTAATATGCAGTTTTGGTATGAATGTGGAGGGTTTAGAAGGTGGACTGTGTATTTTGGTTACCATTTCATCGATACTGCCCTCCTACAAAAACTTGTCTGAAGAACAGTCTCCCATTGTCAAGACTTGCTTGGGAGTCTACATTCAGACACACACACACACACCCACGTGTGTAAATGCCGGCAATCGTGGACGCCCCATTGTCCCTAATCCTCTTTCCTTTGTTTGTACTCTAACTTTTTAGCGACAGCTCTCATTGGTTTTGTACACGATTTGAGATCGTGGACGTTCGGTCAATCGTGGACGTTGTTGTTTGCGCCCACATTCTTTTGTACTACGTCCACGATTGCCGGTGTTTACATACTCGCACACACCAGCCACACACACCAGCCACACAGCCGAGACTTAAATGCTTAAAGAACTCCCATTCATAGGTGCCGTTTGTACTCTTATCCCCATGAGTAACAGGTTTAGCATGCACTCGGAGAATAGCACACTGCCATTTGCCCTGCTTTTGCATGGAATGAATGTTGCACATTTTTTGTTTACTAAAACAAAAAAAATCAATTATGTTATTTTCAGGGTTTGTGTTTCAGTTTTTGTTAAGCAGTCATCGACCACAGTATATCAAAATTTTAATTGAATTTGTTGAAGATGGCTGTTATAATATCAGTTTAATTTTTATTATTTAGCTGGTCAGCCTTATTTTTCATTCACTTTTTATGTTTAAGGTCCATTTTTACTAATGGGGTTTTATTTTGGCACTGTCTTGATTTTGTTCTTGTCTATCTGTAGTTCTCGTATTAACCTCATATCCACCAATGTTCAACATCTGTTTTTGTTTGGGAAAAAAAAAAATGTGTATCTCTTTTACTGTTGAAGGTATAAAATGACTGTTCTGTTGAATTGGAAAAAAAAAATAATGAGGGATTCAGTACTAGCTCTGGTAACTTATGTTTTTCTTTGGCCATTTGGTTTCTGCATGGTGTTTGATTTTGACTGATTTCGCAATGTTCCTTGTTAAAAAAATAGCCTTGGAATTCATCCTTTCTTATAAGTTGCGACTTAAATTCATGCAGTGATAAAGTTTGGATTATGGGTCATTCTATAAATTCAGGGTCCAAAGTGTGACATTTGTCCTGTCCCCGTTGCTTTGGAACTTTGTAATTTGCCGTTCAAGTGTCAATAAGAATGACTTCAAATGATTTTTAATTTATTGAGTAGGCAGTCTGCTATTCATAGTCGCTCTTGGAGGACGACTGCATTAAGGAGTGCATCCAGGATCGCAGATGTCAGATGTAACACGGATATGAAAAAAGTGGACCCAAATTTGTAGAATGACTGTTATATTCAACAGTCTCCTTATAGTGTTTACCTTCACCTACTTGACGCTTATTTTCCATTGCAGAATTGTTCTGTTTCCATCACTCTTAAGAATCTTGATTTACCTAAAAAATGTTCATTGTGTTTAAAAAATTGCTTCCTCCTACTCTTCTCTTCTTTAGGCGACACAGGAGGAGACAATCGCATCATTGAATGAGGCAAGAGATGGTCTTGAGAGGGAGCTTTCCTCGATGGAGTCGCAGCGAGACGAACTGAAGGAGGAAAAGGTTGCCATGGAGCTGAGGATGGTTCAGTTAGAGGAGGAGAAAGATAGTAAGAAGAATGTTGTCCTCTGTGGAGTTGTTGTTAGATCCATCGCAAGTCAGTTACAAGTCAATCGCAAGTCAACTCATACAATCACAAGTCAAATCACAAGGCAAAATATTTTTACCTCCGCCAAGGAGGTTATGTTTTCACCGGTGTTGGTTGGTTGGTTGGTTGGTTGGTTTGTCTGTGAACAGGATAACTCAAAAAGTTGTGGGCAGATTTTCATGAAAATCTGTGTAGGGGTGGTTCTTGGTTCAAGTACGACCTGTAGATTGTGGACATCATCTGGATGCATGATTTTTTTTAAAGGATTCTTCACCATTTGTATGTGCAAATATGCCATAGACCATGAAACTGGGGCACCCCCCCCCCCCCAAAAAGAAACTAATGGACCCGTCCATTTCTGGCCATATACTGTGACACAGTGCAAGTGACGGGCCACGTATGTTAAAGTCATTACCTGTATGTCAGCTCACCGGGTCCCTCTAGAGACCCGCGAGCGAGTCCCTGTTTTATGACCCCAATGTAAACAGTGACCCTGTAGAAATGGCACAATTCTGCTAGAAGCACAAGTTTGATAATTCTGTATTCAACAAGTGAACAATACATATCAATACAGTGTCTTTCTGCCCTTTGATTTCAGAACATGATTGAGCATTTTAAATGGTCCTCGTATTGAAAGTACTAACAATATGGCGGGGAATTGTTCAATTTTGGCGGAGGTTGCGTTCTCCGAGTGCTTTCTAGTTTCTAATTTGGTCAATTTCTTTTCAACTCACCCTGTGTGTGACCATGTGAGTGGGTACTTGTACATGGAGTCCATAACGCTTCTGTGTAGTTCAGTTGAAACTTATCCCTTCATCTTGGGATATCCCTCGATGCCAGTTTCTTAATTTGCTTCACTTCATGTTTGACAACCCTCCTAGATTTTGAGCAGCAGACAGTCCATCTCCAGGACACGGTCCAGCATCTCAAGGAGACAATGGAGAGGGAGCATCTTCCCTTGGCCGAGATGGAGCGAGAGAGGGAGGCCTTCCAGGAGCAAGTCGGACATCTCGAGAGCGGCAGGGAGGACGCACTGAAACAACTGGAGGAAGAGAAAGCGGCGAGAAGCCAACGGAGGTAGGTTCCATCCAGTCAACACTTTTATAGTTTGTAATGTGTTAATTGTATTATTTAATAATTGACTGTTGTGATGTGAGATGCGGTGTTTTTAACCCCCAAAGAGGTTGAAAACGACATATCCACATCACAACAGTCAACAATTGTTTTGCTATATCGTGTCAATAAGTAAAAAAGATAAAGGTTTTTAACTCACCACTCGAGAAATAAATTAATTGACTGCAGTTTAACCTCTTGTTTTAGATTGAGAGGTTGCAGTTCTCTCTTGAGATGCGGAGCCCTACACGCACCCCTTCACGCGCACGCAATAATTTATAGGCAACGCAGTTTACATGAGAAATTTATCTTCCGAATGTGCACATACCCATAGCTTGTTAGAGATTGTAAATGTACGAAACGCACCCATGATAAGGAGTACAATTTTGAAATTATACACATTTGAAAAGATGTTGAGATGCTTGGGAAAATGCTTAAAGATAATGTTAACAATTTATCTGACACGGTATTAGTGCTCTTTGTACGGCAGATAGGTGTGGGATTGTGCCTTTGATGATACAAGCATGGCATTTGGCACACAGAGTATGTCATGAGAAAGATATTTGGCTATAGGGCCATCGCAGATTTGTCTTTTGAAAAATATAGGTAGAATAACAAGCAATGGCAGCCATTTTGAAAATTTTGAAAATTGCTTGTTATTCTGCCTGTATGTTTTCAAAGGACAAATCTACGATGGCCCTATGGCCAAATATCTTTCTCATGACATACTCTGACTGTGTGCCAAATGCCATGCTTGTATCATTAAAGGCACAATCCCATCGCCTATTGCCGTACTAAGAGCACTAACACCTTGTTGGATAAATTTGTAACAGCCAAATATTTTTTTCTTAAGCATACTCTGAGATGTGTGCCAAATGCCACTTGTGTCATCAAAGGCAAACAACTCCCCAAATATTTCCCCTATCTGCCCCAGTATCTAGACAGTTTCACACAGAGCCATTACATAGCTAATTTGTTTCCACTTTCTCTTTCTATCAGGCTGAGTTGGAATCACTCAGAGTTTCCAAATCTGAGGTGGAGAGTGAGTACCGTGAGGTACAGCAGCAACTTGTAGATTCCAAGGCTGAGCTGGAGAGGGTGACAGGTGAAACTGAGAGGATTGAACAGGTGCTACAAGATGAGGTATGTTGGACAGACGGAGTGTTGTTAAGGGAATATACAACATTTGCAAACATCGAAAAATAAAACTACCAAGTTTTTACGAAATACGTTACTAGTATGTTGGTAAATGACAGTCTCAAGCATCTTGTAAAATATGGCACCTGGTGTGAAGTCATTTTCAAGAAAATGGTATTTTTGTAAACATTTCCAACGGTGGTGGTGGTCGGCCGACCAGTGTTGGAAAAACCTAACTATTTTCAACTACTGCTCCAAATTTACCATTTTTCAGTCCAAATTCTGTTTGCTATTGGTTACATGTTCATGGACGGGTGCAGGCCAGCTAGACTGGTTCCCTTAACTTACAATTTTCCATCATTTATAAATCGATCCATTTTATCTTTTGTGGAGTCAGGAACCAGACTACTTGAAAATTTTTGTTTTTCTTGGTTTTTCCAACCTTTTCGAACACAAAAACTTTAAAAATGTCAGTGTAACAATATTTCATCTATTATACTAACTCTCAAATAGTTCATTCTAAAAATTACAGCAAAAGCCATTTCTAAAAATTACAGCAAAAGCCAATGATGTACATTCCCTTTAATGGCATATAGGATCATTTGCATATATCCCAAAAGTAACCTACCAAATTATTGTCACAAAGTCTTACCTGGATTAACCCTAACCCCCTAGAGCCTTTTTGCTAGGAACCATCCTCAATAATCCTCCTAAATTTTGCGTTTATGTTCAAATGAAGGATACCCAGTGACTCAGTCCTTCAAAATCATCAGACAGTTCTGTCTCTAAAAATGCATTCATCCTCAATCCTCCGAAATCCTCCTCTTCTTCAAACACCATTCATCCTCAATCATTCAAAATCCTCATGTGCTTCAAACACCATTCATCCTCAATCCTCCCAAATCCTCCCAAACCACAATGAGGATTTTGGAGGATTGAGGTGGGTTAGGGTTAACTCTAACCAACCCCGACCCTTCAAAATCCAACTGCACGTTTTGTTGGAATCTGCTGGAGTGAGTAACTGCATTAGTAAATTGATTATGCTTTGCAAGGGGTCAGGCGTACCACCATAATCAGAGTCCAACACTTTGGGTGTTGATTACCATATGGTGTTGGATTTGCAGGAGTGAGAAAGATTCTAGTAAATCACTCACGGGGTTAGGGTCAAAGAGAATGCTGGTGAAATTATTGACTGATTTTTGAAATAAAGAATGGCAATAAAATCATGTCATGATCAAAAGGTTTTGTGCGTAGTTTTTCACTGTTTTATCGATATGTATAATATCCACTGAGCTGAAATGTAAACAGGTCAAGTTTTGAACGTTCTTCCTGGATTTTAAGTGGTGAAATTATAAATGAACTAAATGTATGAAAAGCAAATGATCCTATTTGCCTTTATAACAGACACTGTACAATCCAAGGCTAGATTTGATTTAATTTGCTGATTTAACTAATAATATACATTACTAAAACTGGCGATGACAGAGTTTTGCATGATAATCAATTATGTCCCTGTCTAGCCAAAAATGATTGTAAGTCCTGGTTTCGAAAGTAATTATTAGAATTTGCAAAAAGAGCATTTGATATTCACGTGACCCTGTGATGTCATTTGAGTACAAGAACAGTACAGTGGTGTATGCCTACAGTGCATGAGACCGAGGTTACTGAATGCACCATCCTTTGTGTTTTGTCACAATCTGTAATAATGGCTCCATCCAGGAAAAACATGATCATCCTTGGAATGACTATGACATGGT